ACAAAATGAGCGAAGATCTTTATGATCCAATGAAACCGGAGCTGTTTCCTGAGAGGAAAAATAGGTGGGATCAGCCACCAGAAGCACCCTGGATCAGGGTGAAAACGCGTCCACAAATGTTGACACCACCACCACCACCGTCAGAACAAATACCTCTCGAGGAGGCAATTACTAGTCTGGTGGGTGAACCAGAAACGGTACTGGCACAACAACCTGTGCCAGCACAACAGCCTTTGCTGGCAGATAGGGCAAAACGTCGTATTGCTCACGTGCCGAGAGTGGCTCCGGTACCAAGAGTGGCTCTACAACCACCAGCATCGGCACCAAGGCGTGCAATTCAAATCCATGCCTTCCCTTTAAGAGGAACAGCCCGCAAGCGCCTCACAAAGGCGATGAAGACGCTGTGTACAGCGTCTTCAAGAAAGAGGCCGTAGCTTCTTTTATAAAAATTACTTTTTATTAAGTTTTTTACTCTTTTTAAAGAATTTAATTATTTAAATTTTAATAGTATTTTTTCAATCATTTTTTTTCTTATATAAAAAATTTTTTTTGATTTTTTAACTGATATTAGAGAGTTTTTTTCAATCGTTTTTTTTTCTTATATAAAAAAAAATTTTTTTGTTTTTTTTAACTGATATTAGAGAGTTTTTTTTCTTATATAAAAAAATTGTTTTGTTTTTTTAACTGATATTAGAGAGTTTTTTTCAATCGTTTTTTTTATATAAAAAAAAGTTTTTTAGTTTTTTTAACTGATATTAGAGAGTTTTTTTTCAATCATTTTTTTTTCTTATATAAAAAATTTTTTTTAGTTTTTAACTGATATTAGGGTAACAGGTTTTTTCAATCGTTTTTTTTCTCTATGTAAAAAAAAACTTTTTTGTTAAGTTTTTTTTAAAACGTTTTATATCATTTTTTTTATTTATTTAATTTATAGGTATGTTTATTTAATTAGTACTTATATTCTTTTATAAATGTATATATAAAAAAGTGTTTAGTTTTTTATAATTTTTATATTATTTTCAAATATGTACAGTTGACTATTATTTGAAAAATACATTTATCATTATTTTTATAATTTACTGTATTGTATTTTTATTTAGCATGTTATATTTTTATGCTTATGTTGTATATTAGTTTACAAGTATGATATTTAATGCGTTATACTTTATTTTACTTGATTTGAAATTTGCTTTTATTACTATTAAGAATGTATATGAGTTATATTGCTTATACATTTTATTTCTACACTTTTATGAATTTTCACACTGTTTTTTTTTCTACTGGTTATTTTTTATGCTTTATTTCGATTCAAAATTAATTTCATATTCATTCATATAATTTAAACATTATTGTTAAACATTTTTAAATAATTATTTTATACATATAATTTATCTATTAAGGTAAGTTTCATAATTTATGACTACTATATATTATTTCTTTTTCAATTATGCTAAGTTTAATAATAAATGACTAATTTTTAATATTTATATATTATATTAAACATTAATACTGATAGTACATTACTAATTATTTAAATTTCCCGTGTTACCGACTGCGCGTTTGAACTGTAGGAGCTTCACTCAGCCGCCGCTCACACAAGGTGATGAGAGCGCATGGTGGGGTGAGCGCGTGGTGGGAGTATGACACTTTATGTCTACGAGCTCAGCGGCAGTAGCTCATTCGCAGCAATCGAGCGGTACTGAACAGTCCAGAATGGAGGAAGACTGCAACTGTTACAGGTGTCATGTGATGAAGGTGTCGATACACAATGTGAGTATTAATATAATATATTATAATATGATATACTATAATATATAATATAATGTAATATAATTTCTCTAGTTGCAGAATGAAGGCAATGAACTGCCGTTCCCGACCACACCACCAGGGTCACCACCAAGGGAACAGCAGCAATAGTATCGGTCAGAGCGTCAGACCTCACCACGGTCCAGGTCACCGACACCGCCATCTTGGGTGGAGCTGGGGCCTCCACCATCATCTGCAGAGGCTCCAAGAAGACCGGTGACAGTCGTGAGGCCAAGGGTCCGGGCACAGGAGGTCAGGCTGTCAACAGCTCCACCAGAGGCCAGGACGCCGACACTCCCACCAAGGCCACTGACACCAGCACCCGGCCCAGAGAGAAGGCAGCGACGAAGACGTCATCACCAAAGTGCCTCTGAGCAACTTATTATTAATATTATTTTATAATAAAAATTTTTCTCTTTTTCTGTTAATATGTATATATTTATTCTACGCATGCGCGAAAAGTATGATTAGGGGTCAATGTCAGAATTGGGGGGTAACAGTTCTAGTGAGCATGCGTGAGCAAAATTTCGGGTATATATTCGGGATCGCGGGCGAATTTAGTCATTCTCTCTTCTGTTCGCAGGTGTTCCAGCAGTAGCAGTCTCCCTTGTCATTTATTAACTGTCTTTTTTGATATTTTTTTTAATATTTATTGTATTATTTGATTTTTTTGATATTTATTGTATTTTTTGATATTTATTGTATTTTTTGATATTTATTGTATTACTAGCGATGTATTCCTCGCTCGCTAACGCACGCTCGGTTAAAATTGTACTTATTGTTGTTTACTTATTGTAGTTTATGTATATTACATATATAATTTATGTTTTAAATTAATATCTTATGAATATTGTATAAAATTTATCTTAATTTTGATCAGTTTCATTGAAGGATGAAATGAAAATTGTTAAATATTAGATTTTATTTATTATAATTATGACAACAATATTAATTATATTATATTATAATATATTTTTTTTATCTTAAATTATATTATATTATATTGATGTAAATTGTCCCACAAACACATGTAGATTTTGCAAATTTTTGAGAAAAATATTCGTAATAAATCGAAATACTTTTTAAAATATCGGTTTTCATTTTTATTATCTATAGTAAACCGTTATAAAGAGATTCTTGTTTGATTTTACATATATTACTAGTTCTCCGAAATAATGATGTATTTGAATTAAATAATGATGTTGTTAAACGAATGACAGGTGAACCTAGAGAATATTTAAGTATAAATTCATCTGAAGAAGATGAAAAGTGTGACACAATAACTAACTTAATACCAATTGAAGTATTAAATAGTTTAACTCCAAATGGACTTCCTCCTCACAAATTAATATTAAAGATTGGTGCAATTGTGATACTTTTAAGGAATATTAACTTAGAAAGAGGTCTTTGTAATGGAACAAGACTAAAAGTTATTAAAATGGGTAGTTTTTCAATTCATGCACAAGTAATAACGGGAAATTATAAAAATGAGATTGTAATTTTGCCATGAATTACATTGTCACCGTCTAACGAAGAAATACCATTTCAAATGTCAAGAAAGCAATTTCCAATAAGGCTTGGATTTGCTTTAACAATCAACAAATCTCAAGGCCAATCTTTCCAAAAAGTAGGCATATACCTTCCTTCACATGTTTTTAGTCCGTTAAAATTATATGTTGCTTTATCAAGAGTAACTTCAAAATATAATCTTAAAGTATTATTATATAAAAATTCAAGTATTACACATAGCGAAAAAGGAATAAAAAAAAGATAGGCAATGAAAAAGAAATTTATGTAAGAAACATTGTTTACCAAGTAGTATTACAATAATATTTAACACATGTTTTAAAAAAATTCGACTACGAAGAAATCTACTAACTCTACTTTATAAATAAATTAATTCATTGAATTGGAAATGGCTGCGCTGAACAGTAACGGCAGCGCCATAAAAAAAAATTATAATTATTATTATACTGATCATATGGCATAGAAAGGATTAAAAAACCATTTAAAAGAAACAAATATATAAAATATGCTCCCTCATTAACAAAAAAAAAAAAATCAAGTAATAACAAAAACTGTAAACTGTCTGCGCTGAGTAGTAACGGCTGCGTAACATAAAGAAAATAATATCATAAATTATAATAATTTATTAATAACATCACTCATATAAAACTAAATTATAAAAAATTAATTTAAAAATTAATAAGAAATAAAACAACTTACGAAAATTGCAGAATGGATGCGATGAATAAGTTAAAACATATTATAACTTTACATTATTGTAAATGAAAATAAAGTATTAAAAATAAAAAAATCAATATTTTTCTAAGTCCCTAATTTTTTTGGACTTATAAAAAAAACAGTTTGTAAGATTTTCTAACAGCATATATGCAAAGTATTTTGATTTATTTGAAAATAATTGAAAATAGATTTTTCAAGGACGGTGTCAATGTCACGGGGTCGGTGTCGTTTTTCGAAATTTGTTAACTTAATATAATAGAAGATGTTTCGTTTTAAATTAAGAAATGTTAAAATTATTAAGTTAAAAACATTTAATTTTAATGACACTTAAAATTAGACACAATATTATAGGTTACTAACTAAAAATTGAAAAAACAACAATCAATAATAAAAAATAATAATAAAAAATTGAAAAAATCAAAAAATTCTTAAAAAATTGCAAAATAACCCTTTTTCGGGTTAAAATTGAAAAAAGATGTTGGATAAAAATAGTTTCTAAGATTTTCTAACAGCATATATGCAAAGTATTTTGATTTATTTGAAAATAATTGAAAATAGATTTTTCCAGAACGGTGTCGAGGTCACGGGGTCGGTGTCGTTTTTCGAAATTTGTTAACTTAATATAATAGAAGATGTTTCGTTTTAAATTAAGAAATGTTAAAATTATTAAGTTAAAAACATTTGATTTTAATGACACTTAAAATTAGACACAATATTATAGGTTACTAACTAAAAATTGAAAAAACAACAATCAATAATAAAAAATAATAATAAAAAATTGAAAAAATCAAAAAATTCTTAAAAAATTGCAAAATAACCCTTTTTCGGGTTAAAATTGAAAAAAGATGTTGGATAAAAATAGTTTCTAAGATTTTCTAACAGCATATATGCACAGTATTTTGATTTATTTGAAAATAATTGAAAATAGATTTTTCCAGAACGGTGTCGAGGTCACGGGGTCGGTGTCGTTTTTCGAAATTTGTTAACTTAATATAATAGAAGATGTTTCGTTTTAAATTAAGAAATGTTAAAATTATTAAGTTAAAAACATTTGATTTTAATGACACTTAAAATTAGACACAATATTATAGGTTACTAACTAAAAATTGAAAAAACAACAATCAATAATAAAAAATAATAATAAAAAATTGAAAAAATCAAAAAATTCTTAAAAAATTGCAAAATAACCCTTTTTCGGGTTAAAATTGAAAAAAGATGTTGGATAAAAATAGTTTCTAAGATTTTCTAACAGCATATATGCAAAGTATTTTGATTTATTTGAAAATAATTGAAAATAGATTTTTCAAGGACGGTGTCGATGTCACGGGGTCGGTGTCGTTTTTCGAAATTTGTTAACTTAATATAATACAAGATGTTTCGTTTTAAATTAAGAAATGTTAAAATTATTAAGTTAAAAACATTTGATTTTAATGACACTTAAAATTAGACACAATATTATAGGTTACTAACTAAAAATTGAAAAAACAACAATCAATAATAAAGAATAATAATAAAAAATTGAAAAAATCAAAAAATTCTTAAAAAATTGCAAAATAACCCTTTTTCGGGTTAAAATTGAAAGAAGATGTTGGATAAAAATAGTTTCTAAAATTTTCTAACAGCATATATGCAAAGTATTTTGATTTATTTGAAAATAATTGAAAATAGATTTTTCAAGGACGGTGTCGATGTCACGGGGTCGGTGTCGTTTTTCGAAATTTGTTAACTTAATATAATAGAAGATGTTTCGTTTTAAATTAAGAAATGTTAAAATTATTAAGTTAAAAACATTTGATTTTAATGACACTTAAAATTAGACACAATATTATAGGTTACTAACTAAAAATTGAAAAAACAACAATCAATAATAAAAAATAATAATAAAAAATTGAAAAAATAAAAAAATTCTTAAAAAATTGCAAAATAACCCAATTTCGGGTTAAAATTGAAAAAAGATGTTGGATAAAAATAGTTTCTAAGATTTTCTAACAGCATATATGCAAAGTATTTTGATTTATTTGAAAATAATTGAAAATAGATTTTTCAAGGACGGTGTCGATGTCACGGGGTCGGTGTCGTTTTTCGAAATTTGTTAACTTAATATAATAGAAGATGTTTCGTTTTAAATTAAGAAATGTTAAAATTATTAAGTTAAAAACATTTGATTTTAATGACACTTAAAATTAGACACAATATTATAGGTTACTAACTAAAAATTGAAAAAACAACAATCAATAATAAAAAATTGAAAAAATAAAAAAATTCTTAAAAAATTGCAAAATAACCCAATTTCGGGTTAAAATTGAAAAAAGATGTTGGATAAAAATAGTTTCTAAGATTTTCTAACAGCATATATGCAAAGTATTTTGCTTTATTTGAAAATAATTGAAAATAGATTTTTCAAGGACGGTGTCGATGTCACGGGGTCGGTGTCGTTTTTCGAAATTTGTTAACTTAACCCATTAAGCCCCAAATGCACTGGAATTTTGGTCTAACTTTAAGCTCTGATATTTGACCGAAAAGGTGAATATATTTTTTGGGCAAGCCATATCTGATGTATTTGGATGTGCTCTTTCCAAAAATGCTATCGAAAAAATTTTTTAAAATTGTTTATTATTGTTTATTATCATTTAATTGCAAAATTGCACGAATTTTTTACCATTTTTTATTCAAAATTTATAAATTTCGAAGGGAAAAAAATTTTTTTTGTTGCCATCAAGTCCATAAAACGTGCACTCGATTGTTCCACTTTAAGGAAATAATACACTTTTTTTCATTTTTGCTTTTATTTTTTCAAAATGGCGTCGAGAAGTACAAAAAATTGTTATATATACATTTCAATGAATAAAGTTTTTAAAAGTTTATCCAAATTACCTGAAAATGCTTACTCGGGGGTTTTTTGGGTCGCTGAATCCGAATTCGGTGTCAGAATTTCAAAATTCAAAATGGCGGATCCAATATGGCGACTAAAAAAATTAAAAAGTTGATAAATTTAGTTAAAAATTGTTACTCGGGGGTTTTTGGGGTCGCTGAATCCGAATTCGATGTCAGAATTAAAAATTAAAAATGGCGGATCCAATATGGCGACTAAAAAATTTGAAAAGTTGATAAATTTAGTTGAAAATCCTTACTCGGGGATTTTTGGGGTCGCTGAATCCGAATTCGATATCAGAATTTCAAAATTCAAAATGGCGGATCCAATATGGCGACTAAAAAATTTGAAAAGTTAACAAATTTTGTTAAAAATTGTTACTCGGGGGTTTTTGGGATCCCTAAATCCAAATTCGATGTCAGAATTTCAAAATTCAAAATGGCGGATCCAATGTGACGAGCAAAAAATTTCAAAAGTAGGTCTTTTTGTTTTAGTTATAAGCCTTCTTGAATCATTTACCAATCTTCATTTACATTAATTCATCAATATGGTGTAATAATTTATATCTGACTATCGAAAGATAAACCACTTTTTGAATTGAAGCGTACACTCGAGTTGAAGTATCCAGAACTGCATGTGAAACATCGTGAAATAGCTTTGAGCATCCTGTATTTCTGTAAATTATCTTCAAATATCAGGAGTCGCTTCATATTTTACAAAGCATTGGGCTTATGCTCGATTTTGGACCATTAGTATGATAATATTTTTTCCATGCAAAATTGATTTTTCTTTGGTCTACCAGAGCATCTTGCAACATCTATAGTACCAAAAATAATTAAGTGTTTGGTTGAATCGTTGCACTTTATTTAGTGTTGTTAGGATGTCACGAAAAAAAGGCGCAGGTAGTTCTTTTGAAGCTTTAGAAAATCTCCCTTTATCTAAGCGGAAAAAAAAGAGTAAAGCTTTGGCCGAAGCTTTTGAATTTGAAGAAGATGAAACGTTTGTGGATGCTGTTTTTATTCCAAACCCTGATGAATCTGGTGAGTCTAGTTGTTCTGATTCTGATTCTTCTGGTTCAAGCGATGTAGTGGATGGTTCATTTTTTCCAAAAGAGTCATATATCCAGAAATCTAAGCAGTATAATAATACTCAAAAAAAACTAGAAGAAAGCCACGAGTTTCTTTGGGAGAATGGGGAAAAAGTATATAAAGAATCACTGGAAAATAAAATATTATTGAAAGAAAATGATAAAAAAAAAATTTTAGAGAGTTCTCCTAAAGAAATTTTTGAGTATTTTTTTTCAGAAGATCTAAAAAAATATATTGTTGAAAGTACGAACGCTAATGGATTAGATCTTTCACTTGGAGAATTTGAGGTATTTTTGGGAATAATCATCTTCAGTACTTTCAATCAAAGACAATCTCAAAAAGATTACTGGTCATTAGATCCATTTTTGAGAGCTGAACCTGTTGCAGCAGCTATGAGTAGAAACAGATTTGAAGCGATAAAGTCAAAAATTAAATTTCATAAACCAAAAGAGAGCGATAATCAGAATTTTGATAAAGTTTGGCGAGTTCGACCAATACTGAATATATTCAGAAAAAACATTATGAAATTCGGATTTTATTCTACAGCTCTTTCCATCGACGAGATGATGGTAAAATATTTTGGGAGATGTAAACTGAAACAGTTTATAAGAACTAAACCGACCAGATTTGGAATAAAATTGTGGGCTTCATGTAGTTCTTCCGGATATTTGTATGATTGCGACATTTATTGTGGGAAAAATTTAGAAAAAGGGGATGTTTTAGCAAACTGTGCTTTAGGAAGCCGCGTTGTAGTTCAAATGCTCCAACAACTGCTGTCTAATATTCCTCCCACAAAACTCCTGCAGTATCATGTCTATTTTGACAATTTATTTTGTTGTCCTGACTTGTTGGTACACTTAAAAAAGATTGGTCTTCGTGCCACAGGTACTGTCAGGTCAAACAGAATAAAGGAAAAAAATAATATAAAAGACGATGCTCCTAGAGGGACTTACGCTGTTAAAAATGACAAACATAGTGGAATAAATTTTATTACACTTAAAGATTCAAAACTTGTCTCTGTCTTGTCAACAGCAGCTGGTGTAAGGCCTCTTACTTCTGTCAAAAGGTACAATAAGGAAGTAAAAAGAAAAACTGAAGTGCCATTTCCAAATGCTTTTAGTGCTTACAACAAGTTCATGGGTGGCGTCGATATTCATGACCAATACTGCAACAGAGTAATGCCCATCATGAGGTCAAAGAAGTGGACGTGGGTTATTTTTATTCGACTCATTCAGTCCGCAATTACAAAAGCTGTAATTTTGTCGAATGATGCTAACGAAGGCAAACAAAAAAGTAGCATTAAAGATTTTGCTATGAGCATTAGCAAGGAATATTTAAAAATAAAATGTAAAACACCTAAAATAGAAAAAATGAGTTCACAAAAGTATTGTTCCAACACAAAATGTAAAATAAGAACAAGAAAAGTTTGTAAAAGTTGTACAAAATACTTTTGTGATAAGTGCTTTAAAGTATTTCATGCATAATTAATAATAAATAAAAGGAATGGCATAATATGAGACGCTCCATGATAAATGGGACCTTAGCTGCAAACAAATTTTAGGTTATGTTTAGTGATAGTTTTAAATTAATTAAATGTTAATTTTTTATTACATAAAACAAAAACAAGTTTTAATTAAATATTTTTTATCTAATGAGAACATAAACATTAGTAGTTTATATTAAGAGTTGATCCTCTTTGTGCATTTTCACTTTAAAAATCGGAAACATTAACTAAAATTTGTTTGCAGCTAAGGTCCCTTTCACCGTGGAGCGTCACATATTAAAATCAAGCTAAAAATCAATCCAATTTTTTAAAAAATTAAAAATACAAAAAAAATAAAAAAATATAAAAAAACAAAAAAAATTAAAAACTTTTAAAATTAACAAAAAAAAATATGACTCTCAGAAACCATCTACCTCCAAGTGGTGAGAATCGGGCAACACCCATTAAAAATAGGTGGCTAAAGGTGGTAAATAAGAAGCACTCAAATACATCAAAAACCTCTGTGTAAACATTTTCAACTAAATTTGTCAACATTAAAATTTTTTTGTCTACATTTTGGATCTGACATTTTGAATTTTGAAATTCTGATATCCAATTTAAATTTAGGGACCCTAAAAACTCCTGAGTAAGCACTTTCAACTAAATTTGTCAACTTTTAACATTTTTTGGTCGCCATTTTGGATCCGCCATTTTGAATTTTGAAATTCTGACATCGAATTTGGATTTAGGGATCCCAAAAACCCCCGAGTAACAATTTTTAACAAAATTTGTTAACTTTTCAAATTTTTTTAGTCGCCATATTGGATCCGCCATTTTGAATTTTGAAATTCTGATATCGAATTCGGATTCAGCGACC